CTGTGTGTCTTACGTTTCTCTTTTCCTTGTTTTGTTTCTCTTAGTTCCTGGAGCACAGGATTCCAGTTATATCTGGTGGAAATCGTTGGTCCTGTCACTTTTTGTTTCAGTTCTCGTAGTTTCTGCTAGTGTGCTTGGTACATATAAAGCTGCCCGTTGGAGAAGAGCAGTGTCTCTAGAAAAGGTAAATGATGAGGCTGAGCAGAAGAGTGAATCAGAAGAGAGAAAAGGACAAGACAGCCCTCAATCCAGAAGAAGCAGCCCCTCTAATTAGGGTGCCGTGACAGCAGACCCACCCTGTCCTTTGTAGTAAGAAGGTTTGGCTTTGAGAAGAAGTTTGAGTTAAGGAATACATGCATGTAATCTGAGAGCCCATTAACAGACACAAAAGTATTTAATTTGCAAGTTGTTGAATGTCTTAATTGACATTTCTGTACTGTCTCTGAGCCCCCGCAGTCTCAAGTGACTCTGTCTGTTAGAAGCAATATCTGTCTTTGCGTGTGTTGGCACTGCCATGTCATCAAATCAGAATATACCTAGAATATGACTAATCAAAAATATGACCTTAAATCATTTTGCATTTCACTCAGAGAAATGTTCATCTGTGTTTTTCTTTTTTGTGGAATAGTTCAATAAACTCTAGAAAATATGGCTTTGCTCTCTAGATAATTTTGCAGGCGTTTACAGAGCTTTTAAAAGAGCAGTTGAAAGACTCTTCTAACTGGATAGTATGTGTTAAAATCTAAGACCAGATCCTGAGCGGGTACATATTGAAGTTGCTTCACTAAAGTCTTTTTATATACTATACACAAGCAAAATATGTTTCCTTTTTTGGACAGACACATACACACAAAGCCTTTCCAGAAAGTGAGACATATCTTGCTTGTAAGGTCTTCAGTGCCAGTCTTCAGTTTCCTGGCTTTATATGGAAATTGATCCCTGTGGAAAGAAATCATTAGACCCATCCTTAATTCATCCCCCTCTTCATGGATTCATAGATGCTAGGGTCGGCAGGGACCTCAACAGATTATTGAGTGCGACCCCCTGCCCTGGACAGGAAACAGTGCTGGGGTAAGATGACCCAGCCAGATGCCTATCCAGCCTTCTCTTAAAGAACCCCAAGGTAGGGGACAGCACCACCTCCCTTGGAAGCCCGTTCCAAATTTTGGCCACCCTTACCATGAAGAAGTTTTCCTGATGTCCACTGTGACTCTGAGATCCCTTTCCGCTTCTGTGCTGCTGAGAGGGTCGTTTCTAGGGCTATGCGAGGCTTTGGACCCCGTCTTAACACATGGTCATCTATGTCAAGAGTTTTGCATGTCAACAGCTTGAGCTGCAGTTCCCCCCAAACCCCTGCACCTGTCGCCTTGAAACTTGGCAGGCTGCAGTTTTCACCCCCCTATGGTGTAACACATACATGTGACATGTTTTGCTTTCAAGAATGTGGGGTGCAGTTCCCCCCAAACCCCTGCACCTATCTTCTTGACACTTGGCAGGCCTCATGCCCTCAGCAGAGGCTACCACCCCTGCAAGTTTAATCCAAATCAGACACAAAACAACAACATTATAGACATTTCATTGATTCCCCATTATACCCTATGGCCAGATCTATGAAGTGGCTCTGAAGCTTTGGAGCTGCTTCGGCCAAATCGAAGCAGGAAACTTAATCTGGAGCTCCGGATCAGATCCCTGGCATCCAAAGCGGCTGGATCTGAAGCCGAATCGAATAGCTGCCTATTCACATGGGCCTAGTCATTTCCTAGCCAGTAAGTGTACTGGATATTTTTACACCCTAGTTGCAGCACTCTGCATTTGTCCTTGTACTGCATCCTATTGTGTTCTGCAATTGTTCCCTACCCTCCAGAGTGTTCACTTCACCCCACAATTTAGTATCATCCGCAAGCTTGGACAGAGTACACTTCATGCCCACATCCAAGTCTCTTATGAAGACATTGAATAGTACAGGTCCAAGGACTGAGCCCTGTGGGACCCCACTACCCACATCCTTCCAGGTCAATACCGACCTGTCTACTACCACTCTTTGGGTGCGACCCCTCTCCAAGCCAATTTGCCACCCACTGGACTGTGTAAACATTTAAGTCACAGCCTCTTAATTTGTTTATGAGAATGAGATGGGATACCATATTGAAGACCTTCCAGAAATCCAAGAAAACAACATCCACCTCTACTCCTGCATCTAAGCATTTTGTGACCTTGTCATAAAAGGAAACCAGGTTAGTCAGGCATGATCTACCCGCTATGAATCCATGCTGGTTGCCCTGCTGCATTATTTTTCCTGCTGGACTCCCACAATTATGATCCTTAATAATCTTTTCAAACACTTTTCCAAGGATGGAGGTGAGACTGACTGGCCTATAATTACACGGATCCTCCTTCCTCCCCTTCTTGAAAATAGGAACCACATTGGCCCTTTTCCAGTCCTCTAGGACGTGACCTGAGTGCCACGAGTGCTCAAACAGCTGTGCCAGTGGTTCTGCTATGACACTGGTCAATTCCTTCAGTACCCTCAGATGCAGCTCATCCAGGCCTGCTGACTTAAACACATCCAGTCCATCCAAGTGACTTCACCAAGTCAGCATTGACAGTTGGTGGGCTGGTGTCCCTCTGATGCCCATCTAAGAACCCATTAGGAGATTTATCTTGACCCTTGTTCAAGAACACTGAGGCAAAAAACTCATTGAAGAGCTCAGCTTTGTCCCCCCTCTCTGTCACTAATTGCTCCTGCTTGTTCAGTAGGGGTCCTATGCTGCCCTGTGCCTTCCTTTTACTCCCCACA